GCCCTCATCCTGACTAAAATGGACGGACCTGAATTGCCACATCCCATCAACTCGGACGCAGTCAAGAAATACTTCGCTTAGGATGAAAACCCGAGAGGGCGTCCTAAGTTGAAAAAAAACAAAAAAAAACAAAAAGAGAAGAACGTTTAGGGTGAAAACCCGAAAGGGCGCCCTAAATTGAGAAAAGAAAAAAGAAAAAGAGGAAAAAAGAATAAAAGAAGAGAAAATAAGGTGGGTTCAAGATGAAAACCCGCAAAGGGCATCTTGCAACCAAGGATGAGTCCAAGTTGAAAACCCGGAAAGGGCGATTTGGATATTAACAGTGGAAACATCCCGGCACAGGAATCTTCTATAAACTCAATAAATCGGAGAAATGTCGCACTCTCCCAAACGTTGTCGCATTTTCAAAAATCCTTTGGCAAAGGCTGCATTCAAGGTCACCAAATGACTTTTCAGCTCAGAAGTGCCCACATTATCGAGATCTAAGACGTTCATTTACACATCATCGTGTATTCGTTTTCTAGAATGTTTGCCATGTATTATTTGTTCTTCTCCTCCCTTATGAATAAGACCATCTTTCCTCCAATTCCTTTTGAGCATCTTGAATTAGATTTAAACCTAATGGTTTATTTATTTTTTATGAAAGATAATCGCATATTACTGTACAAAGATTCATTGAAAAGTATAGGTACCCAGAAGCCGATCAAGGCTCATGCACATGCTTGAGATGGTTGAGGAGCATCTCCAAAAAAACAAAAACCAGAATGTGCACATCAGATTCAAACATTTGAAGAATTCAAGATCAGAGATCGGAACTTCAAGCTTTCAAAATCAAGAGTCAACAACGACAGGCCACCGGAAATCAAGATTTCTCTCCAGAGCCCAGAATAACATATGTTGCCCATACATTTTAGGCATACCTAAGAGCATGACATCCATACCATCGCATATATGCATATCTTTTCAGGTTTTACCCAGAGCCAATTTCAACTTCACAACGAAGGATATTGGACTCCAGACAACGCATGTTCAACTTCACGACGAAGGGACCGCTGGTTGTCAATAAACATTTCTTAATTTCAGAGCCAATTTCAACTTCACAACGAAGGATATTGGACTCCAGACAACACAAGTTCAACTTCACGACGAAGGGACCGCTGGTTGTCAACAAACATTTCTCAATTTCAGAGCCAATTTCAACTTCACAACGAAGGATATTGGACTCCAGACAACGCAAGTTCAACTTCACGACGAAGGGACCGCTGGTTGTCAATAAACATTTCTTAATTTCAGAGCCAATTTCAACTTCACAACGAAGGATATTGGACTCCAGACAATGCAAGTTCAACTTCACGAAGAAGGGACCGCTGGTTGTCAACAAACATTTCTCAATTTCAGAGCCAATTTCAACTTCACAACGAAGGATATTGGACTCCAAACAACGCAAGTTCAACTTCACGACGAAGGGACCGCTGGTTGTCAACAAACATTTCTCAAATTCAGAGCCAATTTCAACTTCACAACGAAGGATATTGGACTCCAGACAACGCAAGTTCAACTTCACGACGAAGGGACCGCTGGTTGTCAACAAACAATTTCCCAATTTCGGAGCCAATTTCAACTTCATAGCGAAAGATATTGGCCTCGAAACAGCACAACTTACATTGGATTTTCAACTTCACGACAAAAGATATACAATTTCAACTTCACAAACAGATCGACTCAACTTCACGACGAAGGGGTCATCCGTAACACAGTAACACCAAAGTCTTCAAGTCGAGTTTCAGCTTCACAACGAAGTATCTTTGGCTAGAAGACAATCCATGAGCTACTTCCAGTACTTCTAGTTTCGAATCAACCTCACGACGAGGGGGTCATTTCGTATTGACAAAACAATTTCAATATCGAATCTCAACTCTACGACAGAGGATATTCGATATGACCGAAATTTGTGTCTTTTAATCTTTGATCTATTATCATTACACGATAATGAGCAAAGAGGGGCAGCTGAAGACACTTAATTTCGTTTATGTTTTAAATAATATTACATATTATAACATTGTTAAGTTTATCTACATTTGCAGGCCCAATTTACGCAATAACCCTAGTTCATGGTTCCCAACTGAGCGCCGCATACCCAAGACTCCCCATGCTCCACGCCTCGCCAGCCGCTCAACACGCCCGGTTCTCTCGGTCACAAGCAACGGTCGTGGGTTCCAAGCAACTAACAAGAATTCAAACAATGAGTTTCAGTTTGTTTAGGACTCTATGACTAAAAATAGGATGTAAATAAACTATAAATGGATGTAATCAGAACCCATCAAGGGGGGATTTTTTTTTTGGATAGGAAATAAAAGCGGAAGCTTCTGAGCAAAACCACGAGTATCATCAAGGCAAAACCGAAACGTTTTTGAGTTTTTGAGAAGAATCAAAAGGTAAAGTCCATACCTTTCTTCGTTTTGGTTGCTTGCATGTCATTGTGTTGAGTTTTTGAACCCCAAAAAGCATTTTTTGACCAATGAACGAAATGAGGCCATTCTTTCCGAAAACTATTTTCTAGATCTGCGCTTTTCCGAGAGTTTTTTTTTTTGAAAAATCGCTTTGCTTTTCGGGTTGTTGAAAGAAAGGGCTTTTTAAAAATATAGGTTTCGATGTGGACTACCGCCGATGAGCGGCGGCGAGGCGGTGGTCACCGGCTGGAATCTGGAAACCAGGCGGTGGTGTGTTCATCTTGGATGAACATATCAGAGGAAACAAAGGCAAAAGGGGGAGGGCTCGTTTTGGTGAGAAGAGAAGAATGAAAGTTTTCATTTGTTTTAATTTTTTTTAACATATATACTAGACCCACGGATGCTTTCAGACCCGACCCATACATAAAAATGACTCGCGTGTTCTTTAAAACGGTTAAACCGTGCATTTGATGCCTCTGTTTTTATAAAGTTCTAATTTGCCCCTTAGGTTCCAAGTGTAATTCGAATTCCTATTAAATTTGGCCTTAAATTTCATTCTATTTTCAATTTAGACACCATATATATATATATATATATAATTATTACGTTTAAATCCTTATATTATTATTGTATATTATTTTGTATTATTTATGCTGATATGCGTGTATTCTTTTATATTTTATTGGTACAACATTATTAATATACATAAATTACTAATTATGCTTATGATCATTTCTTATTTCTAGTATAATATCCTATAATCGTATATGTATATATTTCAATTCAACTTGATACTTATACTATTATTTTTATTTATTTCATATTACTTAATTTGTTGTACATATACGCATCTTTTATATATTTTACCTATATACCCATTATTAATAAATATATATTATTTTTTTTAAATTATTCCTATGTTATTTTCTAATATATATATATATATATATATATATCGTATTTTATTTGTTTTGTACACATATTTTTATTTTATTATTATTGTTATATATATTTGTTATTATTTTCTTTTATTTGATTATTTTCCTATATGATATTACCTATATATATATATATATACATATATATATATATAGGTAATATATATATATATACTTTTATTTTATTTTAATTAAATATTATTTTATATATACCTAATTTGGACTATATGTCCTAGAAGGGGCCGCTTTTGTCTTTAATCAAATTTCCCCCCAACTTTCGGTGGAGTAATTGTGGGGGTAGGTTTTATTTTTAAATATTTATTATTTATTATATATATATGTTTTATTTGTTTGGTTTGATGTATATATATTTATTATTAATATATATATATTTTTTCTTTTCAAATTGTACTATATGTACATATTATTTTTTCCCTTATCTTATTTATTTAGTTATCTATTTATTTATTTTTCTTTATTTTTCTTTATCTTTGATTTATTTACTCATATTTGTTTATTTATTTATCCATTTATTTATGTATATTGTCTTTGCTTTTTTATCTCGTTTTATTCTTTTTCCCTTTTATTTTATTTTCTTTATGTTATTTGTTTTCTTCAATCTAACACGTTCACTTTTAAAGGGTACAACTTTCAAATCAATCTACTGTAAGTAATTAGGATCAGAGTTTTACCTTGTAATTTAAACTTATATTTTTCTTAATTAAAGACAACTGAAAATTACATAGTACCAAAAGGGTGGTTCAAGGGTGCTAATCCTTCCTTGACCGTAACCGACTCCCGGATCCGACACATCTTTGGTACGACGCAGATCAGGTAAGAAATAAGGTATTCGATCAACCCATTTTTCATAAAATAAATGATCGGTGGCGACTCCAATCCACATTTTTCAAGTCGAAGCCTAATTCCGGGGCCCAACCGAAAGACAGTTCCGACAATTTATAACTTAATTCTCAAAGTTATATTTATTTTAACACTTTAATATCTTATTTTTCCCTATTTTAGTACCTAAATCATTATTTTGATCTCATTTTATCTAGAAAGTTCAATGTCTAATAAGAATATACCACATGTTATGTTTTTAGTGACATTTTTTTTTGTAAAGTAAGATGATAAAAGATAATTTATCCTTTAAAGTGGGATAAAATAAGTTTGGATATCAAATCGAAGCAAAGGTATAATTTAGAGACCAAGATCACAAATTTTACCTTTCTTGCAATGTACGAGGAAAGCGACGTCGTTTATATCTTGTGGGGATTCTGATAGCTTCCTTTTCCTTTGTATTCCACTAGAATCCGAAGACAAATCTAAAACCCTACTGCTCCTATCTTTGGGAAATCACCAAATTGGCTGCCTCAAATTCCCAATCTTGCCCCTAAAAGATGCTAAATTTCCTTTGATTACCATGTCGTCCGAGGAAATCAGCCTCCAGAACGGCCCTGACGTCTTCCAAGCGGACCCCATACGGACCTTCAATTGCGGACCTCCGATCACTAATCGACCCGGCTCCAAGATCCGAGAACTCACCGGCTTCATCGACGACAAGATATTCTCATTCCTTTCCTCTCAACCGCCCGAATTTCGCTCCTCCAACATCTTCGCCGCCGCCGTCTCTTCCGCCTCCACAGACCGCCGAGACCCGCCCAACCGTCACCATAGGAACTGGGAGAGAAGCGCCGAGGGTTGCTCCACAAACAGTGGCGAAGACGAATCTGACGGAGACGATGTGGATGACGAGGATGATGATGATGACGACGGAGAAGATGGCGACCAAAATGATAATAATAATAACCGCAGTAATAGTATCAACATAAATAATAAAAGCACTAGTGGAAATGAGACTGTAAGTAACGCAGGAAGTGGAAACCCCGAAAATATGGGAAACGGAAAAGCAAAGCATCCCTTCGGTTAGTATTCCTTCTATTTTGAGAATTTATATTGATTTCTATATGGATAAAGGGGGTTTATTCATTTATTTTTGTTTCTTTGTTAATTATTGTTGGAAAGTGGGAGGGAGCTGCAGAGAACTGGTAGTAAAAGAAGGAGGAATAGGGCTGGGGGTGGGAGACGGTAATACTTATCAGAATGCAGTGACAATTGCCGATCCCAGTGGGGATATTTATTACACCCAGTATTTGCAAGGTGGGGAAGGGTCTGCTGCTAGTGGTGGTAATGGTCAGAAGGATATCTTGGTGGGGAATGGTGGTGGTGGATGTGGGTTTAGTGGGAGGAAAGATGTTCCCTTTATGAACGAGTCCGGTGAGTCCTTGCGGACCATTTTTTCCGACCCTGTCACGTAAGTGCTGTACTCAACTTTAAGAATGTTAAAGGAATAATTAGTGATTTTATTTCTACCCCTGATGTTTATTTCGGCTATCATGTTTTTGGTACTGGTGCTTAGTTGGTTAAATATAGTTCGGCTTACGAGTTTATATTTAATGTTTACTTGTGGCTGTGTAATTGATATGGTCATGAATTTTAAATGTCCTTGGACTAGTGAGCTTCAGCTGAGATTATTAGATGCAGGGAAGTTGATTAGTGTTTTATGTTATTGCAACTAGTTATGTATGCTATGCTGCAAGGCTAGTGAACTAGTAGGATTGTCCAGAAACAAGCTTTCTTTTCTCCGGGATCATTTAAATACGTTTATCGGTAAAAGACTGTCTTTCAAGGCATCCCTTCCGTTACGCCTTAGAACTAGACAACAAAAGTGCCTCATACGCTTTTGAGCAAGGCCTATTTGACCAGTCGCACGCCTATGCCCCTTTTTTTGTATGGCTATAGGCATAACGAAGGGCTGCATGATTTAACTTCTCTTACATTTCTTTTAAATTTTCATTTTTTTCATTAGATGTGCCTTTACTAGTAAGAAAGGGATAGTATCAAACCTTTTGCTTCTCAATATTTTTGTATTCAACTAATGAGTAATGACATTGACCATAAGGAAAGCATACATAATTGCATATCGAGTCTGTGTTGTCAAGGCGTGTTCCTAGGCATTCCTGGGCCTTAATATTATTCAATAGAAAGGCCTCGGACCCTCTCAGGCCAGGCCCATTTAATGAGGTGCACGCCTAGTGCACCTAGGCACACTTTTTTGTAAGGCGATAGCATGAAATACCCTGTCTGATTGAATTTCTTTCATTTCTTTTATTTTTCACCTTTTTTCATTTGAGATACCTTTTCTTATTAGAAAATGATAAATCCGACTCTTTACTTTGTACTATTTGAGCATTCAACAATTAACATAAGGAAATCATGCATGTGTACGAATGAAAAAATGCATATTTTATAGACAAACTAGACTTCACTTTAGATTTTATTATATACTTTAAGATTTATATATATTTATATGTTATAAAAGTCTCACACATATACTTACTGCACTTCATTTCACTCAGGCTATTACTTTTTTTCGTTTGCACCTTGTGCTTGAGTCAGTATAAGGGTTTAAGCACCTACAGTGTCCCTTGCACCCTTGACAATGATGTATTGACTAATAAAAATATTGTATGTTTTTAGATAAAATAGACCACCCTTTAGAGTTTATTTTATTTTTTAACCTTTATATATATATACAGACAGGCACACAAAAACTCATATAATATTGTGCTTTACTTCACTTTGGCTAGCGCTTTTTTGTGCCTTGTGCCTGAGGTAATATAAGGGTAGTACCTAGAGTGTGCCTTGCGCCTTTCACAACACTGCCTTGAACCCAAACTTAGCTCAGTTGGTTCATGTAGCCATCTTTTAGAGGTGGCATCTAGCAGGTTTGAGGTTTAAATCCCAGTATCTGCGACCCCTTTCCCATCCCTAGGCTATGACTTCCTTTTTTTATTTAAAAAACTAAAGATCGTCTTCTCTTTCTGCATATATATTTGATTGACCTGGTGATTTTTAGTTGTTACTTATCAGGGAATTGTTGTACTTAAAGAAAGAAAGCGTAGGGTAAAAAAGTTGGACTGATGTTTCAACCATACGTTTGCTTTACTTCACTTTAAAATTTCAGGGGAGCACTCATGGACGATGCAATGATATTACCTTGTGGACATTCCTTTGGTGCGGCTGGAATACAGCATGTTCTTAGAATGGTGGGTTTTTGAGAAAACCTATTTCTTGCATTATGATGCTTAATTGTTGACCAAGTTTTTGCCATGCTTTAAAGAATTATGTTTGATTTCCAAGGGATGGCTTGAATCACTACAAATTATAGGTTTAAATCTAAAATAGGCTATTTGGTTATTTTCTGTGTTATAGGTATAAATGCCCATTTTGCCATATTTCAGAATTAGTTAGCACTCACGATTACTATAGTACTAGTCTTATTACCATCGCTTCTTTCTGAAATCAAATGAGGATCTGAACATTTTTATTTCCTCTCAATTCAACAATAGCAAGTGAGAAAGCAAGGAAATTAATATTTCATCTCTTTCACTGGAGAAGAGCTGTTGTCTTTCTTCAGTTATTAGAACCTTATCTTGTAGAATATGCATCTAACAAAATAAACTTATTATTCCCATGTTGCATGCTACTATTAGTATTATATTGCAAGACAAAAGGCAAATCAGTTGCAAGAATATTTTTTTTAAAAAGATGGAAATTTGTATCAGATTCAGCATCAAGAGTAGTCCCATATTGCAATGGAAAACTATATTAATCTTCTAATTATAACCCATCATTTCCTTTGGAGAAGAGGTTGCACCACCTAGAAAAAACTAGTTTATCGCATTCCTTTCAAACTCAATTTGTTTTATCACATTCCTTTCTAACTCAATTTGTGGCTTTCTTGTACCTTGATAGACGCCTAGACCCTTAAAAGGCACATTCTTGAACCAAACAAGGTCCCTACTTTAAGACCACATAACGATTTAGGTCTTTGTATCAAACACCTTCCTTTCTCATCATTTTCATGGCAATGACTTTCCCTTTGAGAGAATTTTAAGACCGTGAACCTTCTTTCTCTATATGGGTCATGGCAAGGTAAGTAGGTGAAACTTACAGGCTAACGCTCAAGTTTTTTATTCTTCTAGAGTTTTGTGGAGCAGTCAAAGTTAAGAGTTGAAAAGTAGACTTTGGCTGTGAACTTTAGCTGTAAACAGTGAGGTAAATTATAGTTTTGCTGCTGAGGGAGAGTGAAGTTGGAAGCCTAGCTGTAAGAGCCAAGTTAGAAGGAGCCTCAGGCCCTCAGCAAAGGTCTTATGAAAGGATTTGGTGACTGGAGATTGGTTGATCCTCCAAGGGGTAGGGGCTTCAATGGAGCCTGAGGGAGAGTGAAGCTGCAGGGGCATCAATGGTACTACCATTTCATGTTCAGCTTTGGTGGTGATTGCATAGAGAATTTATTGAGTTTTAGTTAGATGTCAGTACTAATATTTGATTGACGAAAGCTCAAGAATGGTAATAAAAGAATCAGTCAAATCATAATTGCCTGAAGATTCACTGACAGCATGAGGCCGTCTAGGGCACTGATAATAATACCATTATGCTTTGTTCAATGTAAATTTCAAGGGTTTTATTCCTTATCTATTTGTGTGTTTCTTGTATTAACTTCTAGGCGAAGTTTATGTGGCTGAACTTGTTACAAGCCATCCAGAGTTGCCAACTGTGCATTGATTCAAGTGTTTTTGCAGGCTCATGATATGACATGATTTATGAGGTGGCTTTGCATATTCTTTTCATTGAATCACTGTTGAATGAGTACTTTTTTTATATATATAATAATTTTATGTGCATCATTTATCTTGTTTTTTTTTTCTGGATTATTTAACTGGCTCTTGGGTTAAAACTTCTTGGTCAGTCTTACCCAGCCATTTATTTGCAATGATTATAACTACATATTAATTGTATATTATGAATGCATTATCAGAAAGTTTGCTACACTTGTTCGCAGTCAGTTTCAGAGGAGTCGGTAGCTCCTAATCTTTGTAAGTAATTTTCTTTGGTTTCGAAGGACAATGTCATCTTCTTGTTGGAATTTCGGTTATGGTTTTTTAATTTTTGGAATTTGCTAAATTTTTCTGCAAGACTAATATGCGTAGATTAGTATCTTATTGGTATCATTAAGCACCCATCTTTTTGTGCACGTATTTTTCTTGGATGTCTATGTTTATCCCTTACTCTCACGTATTAAATAAAAAGTTTCGTCAACGAAACCTAGGCTTCCTGAATGTTAGGTGATTTGCAAGACATGGTGAAACTTGTGTCATTAGAAAGGCTATTAATATTTTAATATGCAAAAGCTGCCATGTTCTATGCTATATATACATTATTTATGTTCTTTAGACATTTAGTTATTTTCTTTTTGTTAATGTTCAAGAGCAGCTCTCCGAGCTGCAGTGCAGGCATTTCGTCAGGAAGAAGAGTTACAGTTCTACCGCTCACCTAAAAGGAGGAGAGAAAGATTTGATCAGGTTACTCTTTTTTTCTTTCTTCCTTTTGGAGCTTTCAAAACCCCCTTGCTGTATTTGGTATTCCTCTCCAGTGGCTTATGCATTTTAATTTGCTTGCCATTGCTTTTAACGTTTCTGTTCTATCATCGTTGATTCATTCTTCTATTTGTATGTTCAAATAGGATAAGAGTAGCTATGGTGAATCAATTATGATGGATCTTCCAAGGGGTAGGGGTGTCCAGTTTCCGTTTGCTGTGACAGACAGGGTTATCATAAAGGTACAAGTACCGTCTTTTTTTGGGTTGTAATGCCTGTTTTAGATGACCGGAGATTGATTGATACAGGGTAACAAGAGGACACCACCACGCTTTGTTGGACGTGAGGCTGTTGTAACTACACAATGCTTGAATGGATGGTCAGTAACAACCTTCTTATCTTTTATCTCAAAAATGGGTTGCATGACTTGTTATCAATATCGGATTTTTACATGATTTATTTCTTGAAACACGGGATCTCCCTTGTTCTTTCTCGCCCACACACACTTCGTATTAATGATTACAAAATCTTGAATCAACTCATACTCTACCAAGATATAGATATACTGGTTGGGAAACAGAGTTGGCATCAAAATAGCCCAAACTTCTGTAACGGGTATGCTTTACCTAGAGCTTGAAACTAGTTATCCGGTTTCTGGGGCTTGGTATTGCCCTGAATTTCTGCTTCAGCTCGAATATGTAGAGAAATAGAAACTATCCATATTGCTTTATTACAAAATTTTGATTTTCAGGTATGTGGTGAAGACGTTGGACAATGCAGAGAGTGTTAAACTGCAGTATCGGTCGCTTGCCAAAGTTGCAGACGAGACATCATCGTCGAAGGCAACATCGAGCAAGGCGGGACCAAACTGGTTGTAGTTCACCTGTGCAGCAATTAACTATTACACGGGGCATTGCCGATTAGATTAGCCGAGGTTCGATGTTTAATCTAACTTCAAATACTTCTTTCCACTATTATTATTACAGTGTTTCATGAAACCGAACATAGAATGTGGTATTATTATTATCCTTGTAAATTACGAAAAACGCTTCTCTCACTCACGTTGTGTAGCTTGAGAAACCCTAAATTTAAGTCCTCCAAGACTCCAACATATGTAATCATTTTTCAATTACAATATATAGAGAGAGAGCGGGAGAGAGGAAAGAGATTATTTTATACTAGTGTAAAGTATATTAGTTACATGTTCTAAAATCTTTTACTGCAATTGGTTAGATATTTACATCATGTTCTAAATATCTTTTAGTACAATTCATTGTATATTTGATGTAAAAAATATATTTATAAAAATTAATTTCACAAATTATTATGGTAAAGTGGAAGAGGTTTATATACAAAATTTTCGGTCTTGACTTTTTAATTATTTTATTGAATGGGGTATAAAATTATAAGATAAAAACTTTTTTGTAATAATTTGAGTTATTATTTAAAAGTATACTTCTGTCCTATTAAGATTATTATTTTTGTTCTTATTGCATTTCGGTGGTAAAAAATATTCCAACTTTGATTTTATCCGTATTTAAAAAAAATAAGTCAATTGTATAAACCAATTTATTTAAGTGGTTACAGGAATCGTTTTTATTTTTAAAGGTCAGAGTTTGAGTACCAGTGACTGTAACATGGTGATTAAATGTTTATTGTCAATTGATTGAAAGTATTTAGAACATATACTATTTTATAATCACCTCAACTTAGTAAAAAATATTCAATCAAATAATTTTCAATACATTTTTCATAAAATTTTACTCTTCAGATCATTATTGTCAAAATTAAAATTTAGATTATTATTATTTAAAATAAATTTTAAAACTATGTACACATTTCATTCTCAAAATGTTTTCCTCTTGATATTATTTAAATGCACCCAAAAAGTTTCACCATTTTTCTTCTCTTCTATTTATCAAAGAGTAAAAAAAATATAAAAAATGTTTTAAAAATGAGTAAATTATTTGGTCCGATTAAATTAGATATAAGAGTTATTCAATTTTGTAGGGTGCTAGAACATGTTGCGTCAGTTGAATGTTGATTATTGATAAAGTAATTTTAAATCTTTTTATAATTTTGCATCTAATCATTAAATTTTATTTACGTAGATGACGCATATTAAATTTTAAATAAATTAAAATTTTTATTTATTTTTATGTAAAAATCAATTATTATTTTTTATTAATCTTGAATAAGTATAAGACAATATTTGTTCAAAGATAATTTTTAATCATTTGATATTGGACACTCACCCTCCTGACATTATTGGTGATCAAACCCAGAACCTTAAAAACTAATAATAATTTATTTACTACCGAGGTTACTTGATCCGTACAATTAATAAATATATAATTAACAAAAATAATATTATTGATTGATATGATTGAAATATTAATTCAATTTAAAAATTTACATATATAATAAATACAATTATATTAATAAATGAAATTACTAATTGTTAGAATATGAATTTTATAGAAAATTATGAAATGATATAACTCTATTTTAATTTTATACAGTACAAATGAATCATTTTCCTCTAAATATTAAACATAAATATAAGAAAACTAAAAAGGAAAAAAAATAAACCGAAACATGTAACTTTTACACAATAAATTAGTCAATTAAATCAGTTATTCAATTTTTAATGGGTAAACTACACGTGTGACCATTAAACTATAGCCCATTTTCATTTTGATCTCCAATATTTCGATTCAATCAATTAGACCACCTATCTATTTAAATTGTTCAATTAAGCTATTGGCCGTTAATTTCTAATAGAGGTGATGATATGGTTGTTAATAAAATTAGAATAATTATATATTTAATCTCAAATATTTAGAGATTCTATTAATTTAGTCACTATTTTAATTCAATTAAATATAAATTTAACCATCAAATTCAGAAATGCACGTGTTCCCACTTGTGTAAAGAGTAAATATATTAAATGAGAAAGAGCTTCGGAAGGGTTCAAACCAGGGATGTTTTTGGTCCCTAGGTAGCCCTAACCACTAGACCAAGTTATTTATTTGGTTTTAATTTGCAAAATCTTTTATATATTGCATTTGATATTATTTCTCACACACACACACACACATATATATATATATATATATTAAAACAAATATAATAAATAAATTACATTTCACATATATATTAAATTATAGTTAATGTAAGACTTAAAAATAAAATTGAGTTTAATATTTTTATTTAAATTATTTTTTACAATTATTTTTAAATAATGATATATAAATTATATTAAAAATAAAATTATATTAAAATTATTTAGAGAATTCAAATCAAAAAATAATTTAATTTAAAAATAAAAATATTAAACTTATTTTTATTTTTAAGTCTTACATTAACTATAGTTTAATATATAAGTGAAATGTAATTTATTTATTAGATTTGTTTTAATAATTTAATATATATGTGTGTGTGAAATAACTTCAAACACAATATATATATTGTTGGCACACAAGACAAATTCTCATATAGGCTTCAACATCATTACCCATGTGCAACTAGTAATAGTGCTCCACTATCAAGGCCAAAGTATGGTTCATCCCCGGATGTCTTGCCCATTGGGAGTCATGACACTCTCTCATGAGTCCTTTACGTGACTCCCCATAAGGCACAAAGAGTCGATGCCCCCAAGCATACGACGAGTCCCCTTCAAGCCAGAACTTCATGTTTCCCCCCTCTTTTACAAGATCAATTAGCATCTTGGTTGTTGGGTCATAAGCCAAACCCTCGGTAATGCGCTCCAACAATGTCTCCTAAGGCAAACTGACAATCTCCATGGCATACTTTCGACTTAAGGCATTGGCAACGAAATTCACCTTCCCTGGTTTGTACTCCAAGAAAAAATCAAACTCTGCAAGAAATTCATGCCAACGTGTTTGCTTGGGAGAAAGTTTTTTCTGGGTTACGAAATAATTGTTTGCAATGTTATCTGTAAAACCATAAACCTCGAACCCAGAACATAGTGTCTCCATATAGTAACGCCTTTTTTGAAGAACGAATAAATTTTTGATAAAAACCCTAAATTACGAATTATTTAAAAAAAATTAAAATTTTGTGTTTATTTGATTAAATTGATTTGGAGTCGCCATCAAACTTTGGGTTAGGTAGGTCGAACACATGAAAACGTCTTTTAAACAAGTTAAAATATTGACAAATAGATATTTTACAAATTAAAATAAATAAATAACAAGTTAGCAGTTAGTAGATTCCACACCATAATAATGTGGATCGTACCTCGGATTGGATCACCACAAGGTCGATTCAAATATTAGTGTTTTAATATAAGGCATTAAAATGTAATAAAAAATTCAACAAACAATTCGAAATAATAAAAGAAGAATAACAAATGAACATATTATAAATAAGAAGAATAGTGCATCAAAATTAAAATGAACAAAATGTAAAAATGGTCGAAATATAAAATAAATAAAATGTAAATGAGTGACCAAACCGAATAAATCATAACTGCCATATCAAATTCATAATAAATAAAAAAGTGAAAGTGACTAAAATAAAATAGCAAAAGAACTAGTAGCCAATTTCAAATAAATAAAAATACAAACTGATGACTAATTAAAATGAATGCAAACATGGTATTAAAATCATAAAAAATGAACCAAACGAAACCCCTAGGGACTATAATGTAAAAACACAAAAATACTAAGGGGACTACTAAGGAATTAACCCCTGAACTATAATATATAACCTAATTATTAATCTAAAAACCTAAACAAAACCTAACTAAACAAAATAAAAACACTCATCCTCTCCCTTTCTCCTCTACGTGCGGCGCAAAGCTCCAAACTCTAAGGCAAAAACTACTCCGACCGACCATCATCACTGGTAGCTCTCTTCATTCCAGCCATCACTCGAGGCAACCGAGCACACCCAAACTGCTTCCAAAAGAAGCCAAAGCACTTTCTTATCCCCTATCTCACTCGACTGAGAAGGCTAAACTTCAAACCCCAATACCGACCACCAAACTCTCTTCTACTCTCCTTCTCTCTGAAACTTAAAACCCCCTAACTAAAATCCAAACTGACGTCAGTGAGGAAAGAGCTCCAACGAGGAGCTCGACACCGGAAGTTAAAACGACCCCCTTTTTCTCTCTTTTCTAAATACTATTTTTTTGTTTTTAATCAAAATGTTTGCGTGAAAATCAAAGAAAAAAATAAACCTCTTTGAAAAAAATTGTGTTGTATTCCTTGGGTTCCAATAAAATGGTAAAGATGACTCTGCAACAATCTTGCTTTCTTCCGAGAGAAACAAAAAAGAAGCCCCCTTTACAATCTATTTTTTTGTTGGGTTTTATAACCCATTTACATCAAATTATAAAAAAAGGATTTTTTTTATGAAGTGAAGAGGCTGCTGGAATGACATGAAAGTGGCATGGAGTGTTGGAGATTGGGTGTAACACCCCAACCCGTATTCGACCCGAATACAAATCCGAGGTGTCACATTGACTTTACAAAACATTTATTTTTAAAAAAAATGTAGTTGGCATTTAAACATACATTTGAAATGAAATGGTAGAACCTTTGATCAAAAGTAAATAAACAAAATTTAGCTTATATTAAATTTTAAAACTCAATAATTTACATAAATATAATAGTGTATGTTTACAAAAATGATCAGAGCATATGTGATTCAAAACTTTAATTACATGCCAACACATTAATACTACAAAATCACATATTGTATAAGTTGTTTCTGATCTGATCTTCTTGTCTAGGTATGTTGTCTTGTTTGATCTTAGCTTTACTCCTCCTGTTTCTTTGAACTTAGCGTGTGAGTGTTTCACATGTAGGTTCAAAGAAACAGGAGGAGAAAAGCTAAGATCAAACAAGACAACATACCCAGACGAGAAGATCAAATCAGAAACAACTTATACAATATTTGATTTTGTAGTATTAATGTGTTGGCATGTAATTAAAGTTTTGAATCATACACTATTATATTTATGTAAATTATTGAGTTTTAAATTTCAATATAAGCTAAATTTTATTTATTTACTTTTGATCAAAGGTTCCAATATTTCATTTCAAATGTATGTTTAAATGTCAGCTACCTTTTTAAAAATAAATATTTTGTAAAATCAATGTG